CTCCATACCAGACTGTGCATAGTTGAGGAGGCAGAGTGTTTCCGCCGTGCCCTGCGTGAGGCAAGGGGGACAGGACTTTGGATTGGAATAGAAGGAGGACGGAGAATAAAATACGTACTCCGAGTAACACCCTTCGAAGGGCGGTCTCGGATAAGGGCATGGTACGAGACGACCAGAGAGGCTGAGAGGTTGAAGATAAGCGAAGCCAGGAAAGCTGGAAAGTTAGGGAGAGTTGTAACAGATGGTGCAATACTCAGGGTGTTAGCTGCTCGCAACCGGTACTGGAAGGAAACGATAAAGACTTTAGAGGCGATAGACGAAGGAGGAGATAATGAGGACTTTGAAACATTTTATGACATATTGGAGCGGTCGGCGATGAGGTTACAAGTCGTTATAGCACTAACTTACCTCAGCTGTTAGACAGATGACCTCGTAACCATTGAGGAGATAAGGTAGTGGAAATAGAAATTGGAAGCTCTTGGAAGGATAGAGGAAGCTAGAAAGGTCGATGGGCGACATTGGGCGACAGTAGGAGGGCCTTTAGCGGGCTAACCGATTCAGACAGGGCTAGGAGAACTAGCAAGGAGGACGGAGAGAGACGGTCGGGGACTCTTGAGGAGTGTTGATCAGGAGACATTGGCTAGGTTTGGGATTGCAATTTGTCTCAAGGATAGAGGTCCTGTCATGAGCGTACTGTGGATCCGGGTTCTTGGGATAGAGAGAGAACACGAGATCTGCGACCGGTACGAGATACTGGAGGTGGTAATCAAGGCAGTCGAGAGCTAAGATCGGAGGCGGACGCGAGTCGTGACAAAGAAACAGGTCTGGGATGCCGCGACTAACACAGGTCCGGGCTGCAGCGACTGTCATAGGGTCGGGCTGTAATAGTTGGCTAGAATACCTAACTGCATCTTCTGGCGGTCCAATGGAACCCGACACGATGGGGCCACAACCGACCACGGGCGAAGCGGGAGAGGAGTACAGGGCATCGCCCGATCGAGCACTGAGGGATCTGAAGGAGCGAATTAGGCAAGAAGCACCGCTGAGATGGGTTGACCAAACCAATGACAGAGGGCCCGACATGAGAGGCGAGCCAGTTGCGACAGAGCCGCAGGAGGCTCTAAAGACGAGTACCTCGAGCGGACGACGAGAAGCGACGAGGCGACGCTCCCCCGAGTACGAGCGGAGGGACACCATAGCGGACAGGTACAGAGACGGCTGGAGAGAGAATTTGAGGGATTCCTATTGGAGCGACAAAGATAGAGACAGGGCGCCGCCCAGGCGAGTCTTCGACCCCCAGACACGGGAGTCACATCCGCTCCCTTACGAGAGCAAGGACCGCTACATTATTACGCACAAGGTCTCAGAGCCTCCTACCTTCAGGGGCTATGGTATCACATAATATCTGGAGAAGTGGGAGCTTCACGCCAGCCGGAGTCAGTGGTCGGAGAAAGAGATTATAGAGAATTTCCTATTTAATGTGGACCCAAGTCTTGGTAGGGAAGTTATGGAAGCTCGACCGAAGGATGGGAAATGGACTACGTACAAGGAGAACCTCATTGAGCTTTACAAATTGGAGGATAACAAGTATTCCATCAAGGACCTTGAAACAATGACTCAAGATGAAGATGAGAGCGTACGGGCATTTGGGATGCGTTTCCAAAAGATCTCCGACGTGCTGATGAAGAAGGGGAAGATCTCAGAGGTCAAGCGTTGTACTATCTCCATCGGACACTTGTCCAAGGGTAGGCAAAAGAGTATACTTAGAGATCTTCCGCGCGACAGGCTTGATTTCCCAGAAGTCCTAAAGCTCGCGATAAAGGCAGAGGCAGACGAT